CGCCGGTCGAGGTCTCGGCTTTTCTCCGTCCTCCAACTACTCCCAGTTTGGATTCCGGTGGGGATTCCTGATCCAACAGTGGGCTACGACAAACACACACTCTATCCCGAAAAAAAAACATAGATATATGGAGACTGCGTGACAATAGTGCGTCCATAGAAGACGACACTGCCGTTGCGATCTACAAGTTGACATTTATGTCCTTGATGCATGAGATGATCGAAAGACCATGAGGAAGGAACCGATTCAGGACTATCTTTGTGCCTTTTTTAAGGATGATAGGATAGTGTAAGAGAACTATCGTGGTAAACGCCTCATCAAGAATGATGCAAAGACGCTTGACGTCGTTAATTTCAGTCGGTTTAAAATGAACAGGATACAATGACAAGACAAGCGCTAGATGCTGTACATTTTGAGTTCTTGCGTAAGCTGACGGTTAGAGGGCGTATCGGCAAAAAAGTATCACTGTGACACAGTCTACCGCAACGTAATTTATAATTTAAGCGGCGGATGGTGCCACCTGTAACATATCCTAATACAGTGTGCCACTGGCTAAATATTCAAGGAATCCGTAGGTGATTTTGACGGTGTTCAGTTTGTACAAACATTCAAATGACTGACGTTGTCGACAGTGACTTTAAGGCTTTTCGGGGTCAATTTATAGTGCGCAAAGTGATAAATTTTGGAGGGAATGAGGCAGACTGTTCAGTTTTTGGAAATTGCTCACAATTGTTTTACAAAATTACCTGACTGGGGTAGGTACCTATCGTGACTTGGGGCTGCACTTTCACTGTCAACGTAAACGAGAGAAGATGAAGTTGCCCGAGTGGTCACTGCTAGCAGTGCCTCCGGAAGACGACGGGCCCCACAGTTTTATTCACTAAGAAGTGGGCGGTTATTTCTTGTATAGTTCTAAACAGAGGGTTGTAAATGTAGCAGACGAATGGATGCCGAATATTTACAATAATTATTAACTGAGGATCTTCTGCAGAAAGAGTTTTATAGGCTTTGCCTCACATGAAACAGATTGAACATGACACTACGAGCGACAAGGAAAACCGAGGCGACCTAACGCATGCACAGTTTGTATTTATTACACACACTAACTTGAATGACCTTTATTCGATAGGGTACTCATGCTCGCATCGCTCTTTTAGACAACAAAACACGACATTCGGTTCCCAATCGGTTGCCAACGGTGCTAAGATGTGTGCAGTAGAAGAGAAGTACATTTTTTCTGTTTGCCTTATAAAATAAATCATATCCTGAGATTTTATACCGAAAATGGCGACTATCAGCGTATTTAGAAGTTTGTGTGGTAATCAGACATGAAATCCCGATAGAAGTCTCTATGAGGTAGACCGTGGCTTTAGCGCGATCACATCTGTTTGAGGACACTTCCAGCCGTCAAAACCTCTGCAGTGAACGGTTTCACGGCATATGTTTAGTACCCTCTGCTATTGAATGAGCAGGCTAACATTAGGTTACCATGGAAAGAATTGCCTGCGGGTATAAGATATGTGAACAATACAGGACCATTGAAATGACGGCTGATGAAACGCTCTGGTATATATTGATAACATATATCTACCGACAGTGACTGTTTAAGAAGCACAGCCACGCGCAAACAAAACTGGTTATGGATAATTAGCACAGGCAGAGGAACCCAAAAGTTAAAATTACCGACACAATCCTTGACTGAGCAGTGGAAAAAATTGGCCACGATCTCCCACTTGCAACTGGCAAACATTAATCGACCTGCCTGAATATGTAGCCTACAAATCACCGATGGTCTGGCTACAAAAAGAGCACCTAACGTCTTCTACAGTAACTAGGTAGACAAATAGGGCCAAGATCGGACACATTCCTCGCCACAATCGACTTACAATTAATCATAAACTGTCCGAACAATATAATTAAGGAGAAAGCCTTCTTAT